GCTGGGTTAATGCTGAAATGGGTGCGGGAGTGTGTTGTGGGCGGTTTGGGAGGTTGCCAAAATACTCTACCCATCCGAAAAGTTTTCCTTCCGTATCGGGGATGATTTGGCATTCTGAATTGCGCAATATTGGCTGTGGTGAATGACGCTTGCCGGTAACTGAACGGACGAGACGGTAGAGATGACCCAAATTGCCAGAATTTGATGCAGCTTCCATCTTGCCTGCGATATCAGACCAGTAGCGGTTGCGATTATTCCGTGCTGGGCGCGTTGCCTCACGTCTCAAGCGACGATAGTCTGGGGAATTCGTGAGACGTGCTTCTATCTCTTTAGCGGACAACCGGATAGTGTCTTCAGTGATCCAGTCCTTTGCAGCCTTTGAGGTAGAGCCCAGGGTAAATAAGGCGGCGCGTTGAACTGACGATTTTAGCCTAAACCAACGAGCGTTTACAGATTCATCTTCTGCAATTACGAGGCGTGGTGCACGGGCAGCAATTTCTGCTTCTATTGCTGCCTCAAGGGATCGGCAGCTGTCAGTATTTTCCAGTGGGGCAGTGTGGATGCCCTTTGGTTGACAGGTCTTTCGGCGCGTTGTCAAGCGGAGCCTGAATTTGGCGCGCAGGAGTACGTGGTCCGAATCACCTTTATTGCCTGTTTCAGCCCCTCTGTACGCTCGACACTCATCGATGGAGGACATCCACCTGGATCGGATTAAGATGTAATCTGCATGGATTCCTTTACGACCATTGTTGGAGTACCACGTCAGAAGACGCTTCCTGGGATGCTGGAAGCGAGTATTTGTTAGGTACAACCGGTTAAGGTCAGCGAAGCTGAGCAAGCGGTCTCCATTATCACAGCGCTCTCCAAGGGCGTATCTCCCGAGTATGTGCCGGGTTTGATCGTTCCTAGGACCGGTTCGTGCATTCCATTCCACAGCAATTATGAGGATGTCGCTTTTTGGAACATGGTTCACCACTGTCTATAGAGTATCGTAAAATTCGTCTTTGTCCCTTTCCGCTGAGGGTAGGGTTAGTACGTAGACAGAGATTATGGTCAGATTCAGTGGGTGACCTTTGAATCGTGCAACTGCTATTCTAGCTGTTACTGGCTTCCATGAAAGGAGAGCGTAGTGCGCCTGGCAACTGAGAGCCATGGCAACCCCTTGATTGCCAGAATTATCTTCCGGCCCACTGTGGTAAAGCCAATATGAAGTGTCTACACCAGGGACTTTGATTTGTCGAGAGCCATAGCCGGGTATTCAAGATTCTGATAGGCATGCTATATCGATCTGGTAGTCATGTAGTGTGTGCATCGTCAACACTTAGCTGCCGACATCCAACAGGGTTCTGACATTCCAGCATCCAATGAATAGTGGCTTCCGGGGATTGAGGGACCCAGCTAGCTTACTTGTCACTCTGGCCACTGGGTTAGCGCAGAGCGCGTCGCCTACCGGGAACGCTGTAGCATGAGAAGAATCGCGGGTAACGGACATGTCATGAAGTTTCGTGGGGATTATGGATACGTATGATGACCTCAACTTCATCCGGCATTTCTTTGAGGGTTCACCTCTAGCATTTGCACAGCCAGGTGCTACCTGCAAGGCGGCAGGGATCTGGAAAATTGTCTTAACTTCTGTCCGTTGGATCAAGGATCGATCTCTCTTCCCCCCCCCCCCCCAGATGTCAGGACAGACGTTGCACTCGAGTACGAAGTCACCGGGAATAGTATTCCCGGCTACCCTCACCTGGTTTAGCCCGCATGCTTGACGGTTGATCGCGGTGTGGCCGCTGCCGCGTGCAAGCAGCTTCTTGGAGCCACAAGTGAGAGCTGGGTGACAGGTGGAGACCAAAAATAGGCGGACTACCCCGGAGGGTAAGGCAGGTCTCCTACCAGCGGTGCTACTCCTGCTTGGCACCCCGTACACCCCAAACATCAGCTTACCGTTGGCACGAAGCTGATGGTGTGCAAATCCCTGGTGTTGTCCGTTCTTCCATACGGCAGCGAAACGTGGACGATGTACCGGCGGGATGTGCGATATCTCGAGCGGTTCCATCAACAGTGTTTGCGACGGATTCTGCACATCGGTTGGTGTGACTGAGTTGCGGACACAGATGCGTTTTGCGCCGAATTCCAATGTATGCATTGGACTGCAGACTTTTGCTGAGACACTTGTGGTGGCTGGGTCATGTTTGGCGTATGGATTCTACGCGGATACCGAAACAGCTATTATATGGTCAACTGAGTTGGAGGAAGCGGCATGTGAGGAAACCGAAGATTCGTTACCAGGACATGATCGAAGTGAGCCTATCGCGTTCTACTGTTGATTTCAGGTGATAGGAATCGAAAGCGATTGACCGGCGTGCATGGCGTTGTTGCGTGAGGTGCAAGAGAAATCCCTCGTACATGCAAAGAGGATGCGACAAGTTCGGAAGCGACAGTTGCCGATGGGTTTTACTCCATTGACATCGATGGCATGGTGCCGTAGCACCTACGGTCTCGAGTGCTTGAGTCAGGCAGGCCTAGTGAGCCATGAGCGAGACCACTCGGGGCCAACACCGAAACGAAGACGAGTCTTGCAGAGAACGTAGGCGGAACCTGCGTAGCGTTGGTAGTTACGCTGCATTCGATTTACGAACCGCTTGCTTGCATGCTGGGTCTTTTTATTTCAGGTGGTGGGTTTGCTATATTGTCCTAATGCTTTTTTATACCATATCAGTGTCTACCTGAACTTTCTTCTATGAACATGTACACGTCTCTTAAACTAATTAAGTTGATTTCCATAACATTTTCACGTTTGAAATATATTTTCTGGCGTCTAACTTATCGCGGATTTGTTCGTAACCAATTTATTTCATGTGTTCATTTAGTGAAGAGTTATGTCTCCGTATCTGTGTGCATTATTCGTTTTATTTTATTTGATCTCGTCTTTTAAAGTGATTGGCTTTTAGTTGATATCCCCGATGTGGCTGCGCTTGATGTGCATGTTGACAAGGTGCCTACCTGTCCATTACCCACTACATCGACTACACTAGCTCCAGGAGACAGTTCGTCGTTGCTGGAAGGGACGGGGTGCACGGTCATTGTGGCCGTGCTGGGCTCGATGAGTGGTTCCATGCACTCAGTGTGGAGCGGACTACGGTCCAGCCACCGCCTTGTGTGCGATTGATTCCCCAAATACAGCATGATTGTGTTTACTTGCTCCTTTGATGAAACCTGGCTCTCATCCTCATTCCTTCCGGTCTTATTTCTTCGTGTTTACACTGGATATAGGTTGTGTGTTTGGAGCTGTGGGTGGTGCAGCGCAAGCCACCCGTGATCCCTCTATAGGCACAGGCGTCCTGTGGCTGACCACGGTGACAGGCAAATCCGAAACCGGATTCCGCTGTCCAGTTGTGTATGGATGTAGCTGTGTAGTTTGTGTTTGTGAATCTGCCGCAGCATTTTTTTGCTGTTTGTAATCGTCAGTAATGTGAGAATTGGCCATTGATGTTCGTGGGTTAGATAACATTTGCCGGTTATCCACGGCGCAGGAACTTAAGTTTATGCCGAGTTACATCCGCCACGTCGCAGTGCTGATAAGCAGACATTTGTGGCATTTTACTGAGAGTACACTTGGCCGGCGAAAACCCTTCCACCTTCTGGAACGCTGCCGCCGATCTATTTGCTGGTACGGGTCAAACCCAATTCACCTAGTTTGCACCACTAGGAGGTTGTTCGACTAGCCAGTCATCTACACAAAAACAAACTACTACGGCCATTTCTTGTTGAAGAAGAGCAGCGACATTCCGCCGCCTTCTGTATTGACGATGTCTGTGCAGCCGGATGCAGTGCCTTGAAAGTACTTAATGTTCTCTCAGGTGTTCGACGAAACGTGTTTGCTGCTAGGCAAACACTTTTTTCCTAACCCCACCAGAATGCGGTAGAAAATGTAACTGAGTTCATTGCTCGTATACGGAAGGCTACCCCTTATTACAGATACAGTGAAGGTGATCCGGCGAAATTAGAAGAAATGCTACTTCAGCGCTTGTTGGTCACCTCACTAACTGCACGGCCGACCTCAGCTCGTAACCGAAAAGTGGCTAGCAGCCTCATTGAGTGCAAAGTTTGCAGAAGCCCAAAGAGTGCATAAAAGGCGTTTATTACGGCGATAAATGTCCTTAATGCATACACTTGTTAACCTACCTAGCTCTGTTACTCTTGGCACCTACCTGTCTATTACCTGCGACATGCATGCGGTCTGTGACCGTCTGCCCCCGTTGTAGGGACGGGGTGTACTGTAAACATAACAGTACAATGAGTGGTGATTATCAGGAGCTACGGCTCGGCCACCACTCTATGCTTACCGGCCCGTAGCCTTAAGGATCACACACTTGGCTTGTAATCCGAGGGCGCGAGTTCGAGCCTGCTTAATGACCGGGTGACCCTCGCAGTTTCCTCAGCCCACCCTCGACTGGTGGTAGTTGTGCGGCAGCGAAGTGTCGGTACTGCGTACTGTGCTGATGCTTATTAAAACTCCGCTCATTTGCATGCTGTCCCATCCCGTCCCATCACGTCTCGCCTGTCGTTTACTGCTGTTGATTCTTTCTATCCTACACTTGTATCTGTGATCTTTGGATTTGCACCGTCTGATTGTCTTGGAGTGACCCATGGTTTTCCCGTTCCCGTCCGATTCTCCTCCATCGTATCATGCTACACGGTATTGGTGCATCACAAATTGAAGTAGAAGGCATCCGCAATACGCCGGTACGCAGTACCGACGCTTCGCTGCTACTCAGCCACCACCAGTCACATGTAGGCTGAGGATATTGCGAGGGTCGCCCTGTCCCTACGCACGCTCGGACGTGCGCGTTCGGATTACAAGGCAAGCTTGTGATCCGTAAGGCTACTGACCGGCGCACCACAAATTGACGAATCACTCAAACTTCGGTTCGCTACCAATTGCCTTTCCAATTCACTCGTTGAATCGCATTGTGGTTGTCTTCTCTCTCTTCTCATTGCAGCACGTGGCTAGAGGAGTTGGCAAAGTTGCACATGAGCACTAAAAGCTTGGCTGAACTTGCCATGACAAAATTGCACATTGCTGCCTTGATGGTCGAATACCTCAGGAGACGAGGTGAGTTGGGGGTTGTTTCTTGTATATGCGCGCCTCACTGCAGACCAGTTTATTAACCGAGGAGTTAATTGTCTATCATGTTGTTCAACACGGTGCTTTAACTGGCTGTTCCGGAGAACGAGTACCGAACTGCCCTGCGCTACTGAGACCCCACTGCTCTCAGTGTGCCGACCTCATCCATATAACTGCGACCTTTGCCGTGATGCAACCCAGTCGCGCCGCCGTCGGCCGGTCATCTCTCACATTGGCTATGTAGGTAACTAATCATGTGTTCCTCAGTGGGTGGCACCGGCGGGATGCTTCTATGGGGTTCACGCTGCAACGATCAACGTCTTGGCGTATCCGATTTGTGGTATTTCCACTCTCGGACGTAAGGTTAACTGAGCGCTTGACGCTTCAGCCTTCATCCCTGAGTGCGTCCATCAGTCCACGAAGCCAATTGCTTTGCTCCTCGACACGACCACTCCAGTTCAGACAAGTATGTCACACCCTATGGAGTCTAACCACGCAAGTAAATGCGACACAGTCTTTTAGTCCGCATCAGACTTTGCTATATCATGATTTGGCTACGTTAGAGCTCCAGTGAATCTTATTATGCATTCGCAAAAAAGTATGAAAGCCATGCTGCTTTGCTCAGGTTCGCATCACTAATATCTCTTGCCGCTGAAGTTTGAACTCAAGTTTGAATACAAAAATAATTAAGTAGAAATTCACCACATTTACACTCAGTCAAAGAGTCCCCACTCGCCTGGAAAAACCTTATTCGGCCCTTTTATCCTTTCGCGAATCGTCATCAGTGCGCATTCCATCTGGCCCCTACGGAGCAGAACCCACAACTCGGATGTTGCCAGTCGGTGGTTGAGACCACTGACCTAGGGGGAGGGCAATGACCGTCGTGACTAAGTGACTAGATGTAATATAGCGCCACCCACTATCCATTGACTTGAACCGTGCAGTGAACAGGGTAGCTCCCTCACCAAACGATGAACTGTCGCTAGTGAGCGGTGCTATACCACATGTAGTAACTTAGTTATGAAGTTCGTTACCGTCCTCCCTAGCTCAGTTGTCCTAACCACAGACTGAGAACAGTCAAATCGCGGGTTCAAGCCCGGCAAGGGCATAAATAATACTTACTGCCAACGACCCCGAAAGGATGAAATGAGCATACAATGATTTTTCGGACGTGTGGTGGCTATCTGACTGAATCCACATGTAATGAATTCCTGCTTATACCATTCAAATCCCCCTAATTCTTCTCTGAGGTAAATAATTATGCTAGAAAGCAACCAATAAAGTAAATGAGTGTATTTTTCGATTGAATAGCAGTCCCTTTCAAGTGTGGACCTGCTTACATGTGCTATAACATGGCCTATTCAATACCGTATGCGTATCAGTTAAACTCTCCGGGCGCAAATGCTACCGAAACAGGATCGTTGTTGGAAAGTACTTTCTCACTAGCCCGGCTAAACGAATTGTAACCGTTTATGATAAGTGTCGGTTCCTAGTCCCACTGGTCTGTCGTTTCCTAACTGGGACCTTGTCCTTTGCATCAGGGCTCCTTCAGGCTGAGTGAAAAGGTGCAGTTGGGGTCTTGTTCGTGTTTGTTTTGCAATATACAATCTCCTTTTCGACCGCGGTTTCCCTCTCTTTCGCCCCGCATTTAATTAATCATCGTTATCACTGGGGGACCACATCGGAGATAGAAACACTCGCTGTCAGTGCAAAGCTTTGGTGCACTCAATTCCAACTGTTTTCATTCACCTTCCCAAGTGTTTCATTCAAGCACAACGGCTCACGTGGTTCCACCATGAACGACGCTGCTGCAGAGTAGCCGTATTCTATAGGTCTGATTCCACTCCCGAATATCGATCTTTCTCTACAGATTCTTCTGGCTGGTTGGTTCGGGTGTTCTAGATGTGTTTTTGACAGCACCATCTGTCCACTCTATTCGTGTGGTTGTTTCTCATACACTACGCCATCTGATCGCTGTTCACGGATCCTTGAACGTGTCAAATGGATACCGTTACCACCGTATTATATTGTACAAACTGCTAATTCCAGCTGTCTGCTTCACATGGGAAACATTTGCGCTGTTCGCCGCACAATCGTTGCATGTAGCCTCCTCATAGCCTGTGCCTCATGCACCCGGACTGAACAGCTTCCAAAAGTAAACCTACTTCACGATCCCTGGCTCTTACTGTCTTTTTTACTCATGAGTAACAGGATTTTAGTTGTAATTTAAGGTATTCATCCCTGTAGTTCCCAAGCCACATAACACAACCTAGTCCGGAAAAGCAGCAGACGCGTTTCGCCCTATTGGGGCTCGTCAGTGGTGCGCATTCCCTCTGTCCCCTACTGGGGATCGAACCCATGACCGCTAGAGGCAGATGCTAAATAGCGAGCAGCTTAAGCCACTTAGCCGTCGTCTTTGTCTCTGACTAATCTGAGCGTCAATAGTGCTTGAACACGTGATAAATAGAAGCGTTCGCATCACCACTGATCTACGTAGAATTGCTGAACTTACCCCTTCCCCCCCCCCGCCACTTAATGCGCAGCTTTCAATGTTGGCTCCTTTCGACTCCATTCGACTGTAATCACTGAACTGAAGCAAACATTAAATCCGGATGCTATGAGCTAGATCGTTCTGAATTATAACAGTATTGGAAATACAGATTCGACCAAGAGGGAGACAAGTTTGAAGCTGAAAGGTTGATAGCTATACCTGAGAGAAGCGCTGCAAGTACACCATCCTTTTCGCCTAGCTTTATGCACTTCTTTTTAACTCCTAATTGTATTCTGTTTGCTTTCCACACCAGTTTCTCACCATTATTATTTATCGTTATCCCGGTGGCGCGAGTCGTGGAAACTGGATCTACCACACTTCAGTGTCCGGCTCTGAGTTGTTTCGCTGCACTGAACTATCTGAATTCCATTTTCCTTCCATTTCTTCTGGCTTTTGGTGCGTCAGTGCAACTGAATCTACCACATCTCGATGCTCTGACCCTAGTTCACGGGCTGAACTGAGCTGCTTATCTCGACCCCTCGTCCTGAAAAGCATTGTCTGTCGACCAGACTATCCCGTCACAGTGACTCCCAGTTGTTTCTGCTTCTTTTGCCGAAATAATAAGACCGAATAATTCCAGTATCTGTTAACCGTTCCAGTCTTTTGACCAGTTCACCAAAATGTTTTCATGGGTGCACCTAACCTCGGGGATAATCGCCTCCACACCCTAATGTCATTCACATTTTTTGTGTACGTGTGGTGTCATATGGGATCTGTTTTGACCATAAAGCACGTTTTGCCGATTAGGAGATCATACCCTAGTGTTCACATGATGTGAATGGCTTCGACCCCCACGCTTACGTACTTCGCTGCGCGGCTGATACTCTGCCATTCAGGTGGAATGCCGCGCGGTATTACATCAGTCTAGGAGAGTGGATCATCCTCTGCGGCCTTGTTTGCTTTCTGGACCAAGAGAGCTCGCTTACTTTTGCTGCGCGCATTTGATACCCTTTCAGAACATTCCTTACTTCATTGCTTCTATTCATTGCTCGCTTTTCAGGCAATCTGGATCGTGAGTTTTTTTTACTTCACATTCCCTGCATTTTATCTACCCTCTTAGTGATGTGATAATGTTGTTGGTGCATGGTGTAATATTAATTCGACATTTTAACTTGATTTATGACTCATTCACGCACACTCACACACAGAGGTTGCTATGCAACAACCGGAATGCAATGTGATGCTAATCCTAACCGTTTCTGTTCTCCCACCCCGCACCGTCTCTTTTGTGCGCCTGCCTCTTCCTGGTGACCCTCCCCTCCACAATTGGTTGCATATATTATCGCAATCGCGCCACTCTTATTCCTCCTCCTCCTCATATCTGAGATTTGCCCCACCGAATTCATTTCCATTTTCACCCACAGGTGATTTCCCCCACAGCTGCGACGATTTCACAGCTATATCATCCAACATTTGCCAAGAAGAAAACGGGCTACGCACTGATTCGGCTCTTCTAGAGATTCCATACTCTCAGGTCAGCTCTCACGACCATTCCCCTTCTTTCCCGCATTTGTCAATACGCTTTCCCCATCAAGTACACCCTTATCTTCTAATTTAACCTTGTCTGTTAGGATGCTGTCGAGAGATCGGCTTTAACTAGCTGTACGGACACACGCGGCCTTCGTTATGACAAGTGCTAGTTAATATCCCTACATTCTGCCCGTGCTATTCACTACACTTCTGTATGCTGAGTCCTACAGTTTGCCCACATCCTGCATATATATATATATATATATATATATATATATATCGCTTTATTCGATTCGCTCAGTTCCATTATTCTCTTGCATCTTCCGTGTCAAATTTGAGTTTGTTTTCCTCCAGACTGTATGCTGATTGTCTGATATCCTCTGCGTGACTGCGCTTGATATAAATGTTAACTAGGTGTCTACCTGTCTAACACCCTCCAATTCGATTACTGGCTCCATGACACTGAATCGTTTCTAGGGGTGTGACGGGGTGCGCGATCCTCGAGACCTTGCTAGGCTCGAAGAGTTTCCATACATCCAGTGTGGGACGGACTACAGTCCAACCACCACCTTGTGCACGCCTAGTAAGCATGATTTTCCAATTAGACTGACTGGAATGTTACAGCTGTGCATGTTGAAGGAGTGTTGACCGGCCCCGTTGATGAAACTTGGCTCCCACCCACATATCTCCACATGCCTTCGGGATTACACTGGATATGGAGTGTGTGGGTGGTGCTGTGCTTGTCACCCATGGTCCCTCTGTAGGCGCAGGCGCCCTGTGGCTGCCCTATGGGGCCGCATTGCGAGGCAAATCCGGCATCGGACGTCGCCAAATATATATATATATATATATATATATATATATATATATGCATAAACCTGAACGCATCAAATCCTGCGTATTATAACTGTGGCTTAACATAATCGCAGAGTTTTCTTTCCTTCAACCTCACATATGAGGGCTGACGGAGCGGGGCACCTTAATTCACAACTGCCTACTCCCTGTTCAGTATATAGTCAAACAAGTAAACCAGCCGCTTTCTATTCATTCGGAATATTGATTGATCTTTGATGGAATGGTTCAGGTAAGTAGATTCTTATGTGCCAACAATGCTTTAATGGTTTGACTATGTTAGCTCCGTTTATGTCCTCTTATTGGATGGCTTGTGAGCAATCTATACTTGCTTTTGGGCTACAGCTATGAGAAGAAATTGAATGATTCCTATGGATGATCATTTTTGACAGCTACTCTACGCTTCCCTCCACCTGTTCCACTCTTTCAGGATGTCCTTTTGACCGACATTAACGAAGCCGCTGCCACGCTTGAGGCCGCTGGCTTATTTGAAGCCATTCGCCCTGTCTACAATCTGGTTCTGCCGGTATACGAAGCGCGTCAAGATTACACCGCCCTAGCTCAAGTGTATCGTCATATCGGGCGCGCGTACGAGAGTACTGGGATCGCGGAAGCTAGCGGCCACAGGCTTTTCGCAGCTTATTTCCGAGTGATTTTTCACGGTTCAGTAAGCATGCCTTCGTTCACTGATTTGATTTTTTCCTATCTCCGCATTCCATAGCAGGCCCACCCACGACGCGCCAGATATCCGTCTAATTTTTACATGTGTATTAATTTGCTTCCTTTTTCTCCTCCCGTCCCTCACTAATATTTTCTTAATTTCATGCGTTAGTCTATTGTATTAGGGCGCAACTGTAGCCTGCGTATTTTATCCTTGTCAACTCTTCTATTCGGGTCTAATAATGCTTGGCGATGTCCTAAGAGGTTGCCTGCTTACCACCCCTTTCCGTTGCCTTGTGCACAAGTAGTAACGGCTTTTGATAGTCGTTACGCGCTCAGACCCAGTCACCTGTGCACTCCTTTATCGCTGTGTAAGTCCGCTGACGTGACTTGATTCGCGTGAGTTCCAGTTGGCTGTTTTACCCGCGTAACTGAGCACTACTGCTGCGGGCTCAAAGCATCTCCGCATCACAGACCGCTGTCCACACACCTGTCTGTCTCAGTCATACATTTTAATAACTGTGGCACGGGCTAACGTAGAAACAATCACCTCAAACCAACCCGCCCGGATTTTCTCAAATTACATAACCCCGCTAATGCGCTGATTTTAATAATCTCGTTCTTCGAATGATCCATTTGGATCGGAGCAATCCGGCTGTGATTGCATTTGCTGTTACCATGACTTCCAATTTCACATCCCCTTCACTTTGCGGGCACGATTATGCGACATCACTTTGACAGTACGGATGAAAATTATATTGGCACTCTAGCCCTGTGCTACCACACAATGCTAGCGATGATGTACCCCAGCGGAGAAGTTGTGTTACCTGGAGTTAATCACAACTAACCTCTTCGAACGTAGCTTTTCTTGCATTTCTATTTCCTCATATTTCTGATTTCTGCTACCATCGGTGTACTGCGTGTGTGAGGGAGAGCACTGTTAGTGGGGGGGGGGCTTTGCAACCGCGCTTCTGTTCAACACTACTCGAAGATTGGAACTTTTTCTGCCGCACATCCACAATCGCTCCACAGCCTGCTCAGCGATGGCACACTGCACCACATAGCCTAGTTGGGGCTTAGTTGGTCAACAGCGAACCCTCTGTACAATCCGCGCTCATTGCTCATTTCCGTACTTTATAGAAGTCCGATTTGACATTGAGGATATTCTGGGTCGTAGTGAGGTGTAGAGAACATTGCCGCTGACTAGAGTGGAACGAGGTTGGCATCCCTTCCAGTTAGTCGGTGTGGACTACTTCGGGCCGTTCGTTGTCAAACACGGCAGAAAACAAGAGAAGCGATATGGATGTTTGTTTACATGCTTACAAACACGAGGAGTACATCTCGAACTATCCCATAACTTGAGTACCGTCTTTTTCGTCATGACTTTGATGCGATTTCTATCACGAAGAGGGGCTCCAGCCGAAGTATTTAGTGACAATGGAAGCAATTTCGTCGGTGTCGTTACTGAGTTACGTTCCATTATGAAGGGTTGGTCCCAGGCAAACATCAATGCTAAGCTTCTGAGTCTGGCAATAGAGTGGCACTACAACCCTCCAGTGGCCAGTCACAGAGGTCGGGTTTGAGCGCGCCTTGTCAGGTCGGTTAGACGCGTTCTGTTATCGGTCGCCACGCAATAGACTCTAAATGGCGAGGCGCTGTGTACCCTATTTGTCGAAGCAGAACGCATTGTCAACAATAGACCATTGGTTTCACTGAATGTGGATTCGAACGATCGACTAGCTCTCACGCCTAATGATTTACTAATCCTACGGTCCAATACTACAGGATTATTACCAGCCTCGTTAACAGATGGATACAACCGGTGCTGGCGACAAGTGAATTACCTGACGGATCTGTTTTGGAAACGGTGGATTGGGGAATACTTACCCATACTGCAATGCAGACAAAGGTGGCTAAACCAGAGCAGGAATTTTGCGCGTGGGGACGTGGTTTTAGTCGTCTCTGATACGTTTTCGAGAGGTAGGTGGCCGTTAGGAATAATAGACCGCTGTTTAAGTTCGGAAGATGGTCTCGTTAGGACGGTAGTAGTGCGAACAGCTAACGGGTTATATAAAAGAGACGTACGGAAAATCTGTTTGATAGAAGAGGTGGCTTAGATGAGGAAATAGTTCCGGCTTTTGACTCTCCGCAGGTGGGAGGCGGGTCTTCTGATTTGCTGCTCCAGTGAGGACCACTGTGAGCTCAACGCACCGAAGTGGGGGGTGCAGGCGTACCGTTGTAAGTCCTGTATCCGCCCATCGTGGATGGAGTGGGTTAGGGTGGACCAGAACAGTACCGCACTGTCGTCAAGCAATGAAAATTCCGGATCGAATTTTGAGGGGCAGTGTAGAGAACATTCGGACGTCGCGATCACAATTCCCCTCCATATTCCCTACCCATACCAAACGTCGATTATGTCTCCCCATTTCTTCGTGAAACCCAATCTCTAACTCGTTCCGTCCTACGTTCCCTAAAATCGTTATTACCTCGCATTCCCACGATCCCCAATTGCCTCTACACCTTTAACGTTTTTACGATTGTCAACACCATGCTCTGCACCGATTAGGGTCGTTTGGTGACCTTCACTCCTCACCGATTATGTCTGTCTGTTGACCTTTTGTCCCACCGATTATGCATGTCTGACCATTCCTTCCTTTGTGTATGTGCATCTGTGACTCAGTTGGTGAACGCTCCAAACAGGCCAAATTCACACCCCCTTGAGGCTTACCCAATCCGCATCCCTTTTGCATGATCAACCAATCCCACCGTTTTACCCGTCTTATAAACACATCGTTTATCTTAGTGTCGTGACTTCGTACAGCTGACGCTCTGTAACTGAACTTGTTGAATCGGACCGAAACGCTTGTCATTGTAACTGTTCTGAGTTTGGAAGCATAATCGTTGAGGTATTTATTGCTTATGATCATTTATTCATTTATAATTTGTACCGTTATCCATTTCCGGACTTGATGTTTATTTGATCCCGGTAGAAACGCGTCACTCGAACCTTCCAAGCGAATTTTGCTGCTTACCTGGGGTTCATTTTCAGTCTTTTACTTCGTTGACCTTATCCGGCTACTTCCGAGCTGTCGTGCACATGTCGATTCGCGTGGACTAGCTGCGTGACACACCTTGACTACTTCGCACAGACGAACACCCAGAGAGCCGACTGGACGTGCGTTTCTTGTTTGAATGCTGCATGCAATAGGAGTTGCAGTTAATTCGGCAGACACACAACTGATTCCATCGTCGCGTAACGAGAGAATGTGGTCTTGGTTGAAGAATGACACGTGCATCGCAGTAGATCAAATAACACAGTCCACTTGGATCCCCAAACCAACATCCAATCAGTTGGTAGAAAGTATCGCCGACCATGAATGTGCGGATTAAGACAAATCTCCGTTTTTTGCGCAACAGCGCACTTTCACCGGTGCTTCCTACAGGGGGGAAATGAGTCGCCCAGAGTCGAAGTTGTGTAAAAGCTGGTTGCGAATCTTCAAACAGACGGAATATCAGTGGAAACCTTGAGAGCCACATGATACTTCTAGAGTACTTGGTTCTCTTGGGCAATGTGGAAGTCCGGTAAGAAAACGGGAACAATTTCCTGAAGCAAACAGTTGATATCGTCAGGGAGGGTTGCGCATTACGGCTGGTCACGAGAATTCAATCAAACAACGATGACGAAAGCAGGTGGCTGCACGCATTTCGTATTGTCTTCTCAGTACCATCAACAATAATCGACCTGCAACTGTATGTCTAATTGTGTGACCAAACAAGCTTGAGGTGCAAAGCACATGACGCATATTTCGCCCCTATCTTCATGACAGATTCAAGTTAACCACATGTCCTTGAATACACAGAGCTGACTTCATCCAGATTATTGCGACAGTTTTGGCGAACTAGAGGAAGTGGCGATTAAGGTGACACAATTATGAACTCTGATCCGAGCTGTATCTGATGACGCGTGACCGGTAGGTGTTTACCTATTGGGGAAGTTGACGGTCTACACAGGGGCTCAGGTATGCTGGTCATTGTCACATTGATCCCAGTTTGACAGGAGTTTCCGTATTCGGGAGGTCAGATACTTATCGGTTCTGTCTATGTAACTGGCTCCGCAATCACACACGAATTGATACATGCAGTGTAAGTTAGCTTCTTTCCTTTGGGAGCACCGGCAAGTTACTGGTTCGCTTAATGATCACAACTTGAGCAGCGTTGTAACTTCTTTGCGTAGCAGAGGTTTAACGTTTCGTGGTTTTAAACAATGTAAAGTCACCTTTGAAAAGCAACTCAATATAGATATTTTCTTGGCTACGCTATGCACCAGGTCCTTCAGGCCTCGTTGTTGGCTGTGTTTCTCTATATATCTGCGAGGATAACCATTCACGATGATCGTAGTTGTTATTAACTAGCTCATCAGCCAGACAATCCGCCCCAGCAAATTCCTCTAGCGCGACTAACTAATGTTTTCACAAGTGTGTACTTGTACTGCACCAGTGTGAGGCTGGTGAAGTACAGGTATTGGCGGGACCATGTAGATTTTCTGTAGACGGACTTAATGTGTCCGTCATCCCTGCGACTGGTAAGGGTGTCCAAAGATGGCAAACAATTATTCTGTTCCACTTCACAGCGTCCAACGAGAAATGGACTACGCTTGGCTTGCGCTGCATCACCCATAGCTCCATCCACACACAGCATATCCGATGTAAGCCCATATGACTAAGAGCGGGAGGCAGGTGAATGGTAATCACGATTCAACAACAGAGCCAGCACAGAGTTATTCAACATGCACAGCATTTCTGTCGAATTTGCGAATCAGCCGCGTGCCGAACACCGTATGCTAGATGGAACCAATCATTGAGCTTAAGACATGCAAAGGCTATACACCCGCAATGGAGTGTGATTCGTAAACCACACGTTACAGACTGGGCATTGCTCAGAAACGAGTTTGTCGAGGCCGCGACGAAATTATGAATGAAACCCATTCCATGTAAGCAGATGGAGTTC